TGACCATCACTACCTCAATCTTCTCTCCTTTTGTGTCTTTTCAGTACCTTAGTCTGTTGTTTTCTCATTAGCTCCCCCTGCACTTTGGGCAATACCATTTCCTCTTTGTTTTATAAGTTCTCTCATTTCCCCCAAGAAACGTGGTTACATAAATGATGTATAGGTCATTGGGATCTAGTACAAATTCAGTAGGCGAGGCTTATCTTTCCTGCATGACCTTAGAGCATTTCTTTTTCTTGGCTGACTTGGATTTTCTTTCTTTAGATGACTGATCATCACAGTCTTGATCCCATTTGTCTGTAACATAAATCATGACTTTAACTGGTTCTCTACCTATGGGATCTTCTTGAAGCTCTTTCTGGCTGGCTAGAATCCATTTTTGCTTCTGCTGAGGCTCATTCACTTTCAGCATGATCTTGGAGATACTGTAAATGTAACTCCATTTGTCTTTCTCAATTTTCCACTAATTCAAGCATTTGTGTGATGATCTGAATTTTTTCATCTCCTAATTCTTGTACATTGATTAATGTTCTCTGGACATGCTGCAATAGGTATTTTTTTCTGGTTTGAATCATCTTCATTATTTTTTCATAGACATAAATTTTCTTTAATGTTTATATAGCCAGGGTCAATGACAGTCCTGGCTGAAGCATCCCCCTCTTGATTCATTGGGTGGCAAAGAGAATTGAAACATAGCAAACAAGTTTCCAACCCCACTAACACCCTGCTAACACCCTGCATAGCCTGGCTTCCTCCTAAACAGCCAGCACCATCTATGTAAGCCGTTGTTATTTCTGAAGTTTGCTCAAAACACATTCTTTTATTTTATCCTAAGTAGATTTTTTGTATAATTTAATCTAATTCCCTTTGTATTAAACACTGTTCAATACTTTTGGAAATAGCTTACTTAATACCTTTCCACTTTAGGATTTATTCAAGAAATATTCAAATGTCTGCTATATGTAGGGCACTGTGTTAGATTCTGTGGGAGTTGCAAAGTTGATTTAAATACATATCTTTCTCCTGAGCATCTTTAAATTTTAGAAGGAGGAAGTATAGCTAGAATGATAGAATGTAGTATGATTTTCAGAGGAGAAAGATAACTTCATACTTGGTAGAGTTGTATGATATTTAATTTTATATGTCAGTGGGCCACAGTGTCTTATAACAGATGTTACAAAGAAGACAGATCAAGCATTCTCCATATTTCTGAGAAGATATTTTTTGGATAAGATTAGTGTTTAAATGTGTAGGTTTTGAGTAACTAGATTACCCAAAATAAAATGTTGATGGGCCTTCACTAAACCCTTAAAGGCTGTAATAGAACAAGCTGGTGCTGTGTCCCACACCTATAATCTCAGTTGCTCAGAAGGCTGAGGCGGGAGGATCCAGCCTCAGCGACTAAGCAAGGCCCTAAGCAATCTACCAAGCCTCTGTCTCTAAATAAAATATAAAAATGGCTAGAGATGTTGTTCAGTGGTTAAGTACCCCTGGGCTCAATCTCCTGTACCTTAAAAGGTGGAGGAGAACTTTAATAGAAGAAAGACTGACCTCCTGTGAGCAAGAAGGAATGTTACCAGCCTACTGTAGATTTTGGATTTACCAGGTCTTTTGGAATAACATATGCTCTATTTTTCCTGGGCTTTTACACCACAATCAACAAAAGGCTTTCATGACCCTAACAACCTAGGGATTTCTTCCTTCCAGCAAGCAAGCAGCTCTGTAAAAGCAGACATAAGCTGGATTTAATTTAATTCTGACACTATCTACTATTTAATTCTGTGGAAATAGCACTCACAGGTTAAGGGCTTAGTCCCAAATCCCAGGTTTTACCTTTGTTTCTTCTGTCCAGTTGTAAATTGGGGTTTCCACTCCTTCTTGGGTTTGATAATTTGTTTGAGTGGCCCACAGAACTCATCTATTGGTTTATTATATCAGATGTTACAAAGAAGACAGATAAAGAGATGTATAGGTAAAATATGGGAAAAGGGACATGGAGCTTTTCATGCCCTCTGGATACACCATCCTCTAGGAAAACCTACATGTGTTCAGCTACCTGGAAGCTCTATAGCCTTGTCCTTTGGGGTGTTTTATGGAGACTTCATTGCATAGGCATGATTAAAGCATGGGCAACTGTATAAAGTGAGATTAAACAAAAAGAGTATTGTCTGATGCCAGTAGGTTGGATGGGAAAAACAAGGAAGGTCTGTGGTTCCAACAATCTGCTTAGCCTCTCAGTGCAGCAGTGTTCAGGGCAGGACCCCCCTGGAATGAGGTAGGTCTCAGACAAGGGTAGGTCAAAAGGATTAAAGGCAGGGGAAGATTAGGGACCTATTTATTCATTCATTCACTTATTCATTTGTTCATTTTATTTTTAGTTGTAGTTGGGCACAATACCTTTATTTTATTTATTTATTTTTAAGTGGTACTAAGGATCAAACCCAGCATCTCGCACGTGCTATGCAAGTGCTCTACCACTGAGCCACAACCCCTGCCCCTCTCTGACCTATTTGAGGGGAGAGAAATTCTAGTTTCTGGGCCTGCCTTGGGAAGGTTTTCTTCAAAGATGTTTTGGGAAATACACCCTTAATTTCAAATCCATTTATTAGCTTTTGTGGGGAGGGATATGCTGGAGAGCAAACCTAGGGCCTTCAGCATGCTGAGCATGTGCTCTACCACTGAGCTACATCCCCAGCCCCCTATCAAAAAAAATTTCTTTGAAATCAAGTGACTCCCTATTTAACATGATAAAGTATATGTTTATAGACTTGTGGTTTTTGTGTTTTAATTTCCCAGTTTTTATTAAAATGCTATGTGATAGCATTATTATTTTGTCACACTTTGTAGCCCTTTCTGTAACTACTAAATTTACATTCTGTTCTAGAGCCATAATAAATCATCATGTACAATTACATGCGAGAATGAGTTTATTATCCATTTCCTATATTTTGGAGGGGATGGTGCAGGGTGCTGGTGAACCCTGAGCCTTGAGCATATTATATGTGCTCCACTGCTGAGCTTTGTTCTCAGCCCCATATCGTATGTTTTTAATATTTTCTCTTATTCTGTTGTCACTAGGTCATTGGTTATTTCTTGGATCTTCATAACTATCACCTCTTGTTTTTATTACTGTACTACCTTTTACTTTTTCTTTATATTTTTTACTTGTTCTCCAAATTATTCTTTTAGTGACTTGATATTACTTCATTGACTTGTTTGTTTTGTTTTGTTTTGTTTTCCCCAATACTGGGGATTAAGCCAGAGGTATATCCCCAATCCTTTTTATTTTGGGACAGTCTTTTAATAAGTTGCCTAGACTGACCTTGAACTTGTGATCCTCTTTCCTCAGCTACCTAAGCAGCCAGGATTCAGGTGTGCACCACCAGGCCCAACTTGTTACTTGTTCTTGATGCATATATTGTGCTGTTACTTTGCTACTATAAATATTAGTCCTGAATATTTTTCATGTATCTTTGAAGACCATGTTTTATTTCTGTTATTGTTTTTTTCTTCCCTCCTTATTCATTGCTTCTTTTACTTCTCTTTCTCCGCTTCTTTTCATCTATCTCTTCTGTAAAAATTTTCTCGATTCCATACCCTTTATACTTTTTTCCCTACACATTCCAATATAAGCTGCTTGCCTGAATATGGAATACAGATTCTTTTCTAATTCATTCTGAATTTACTTGGATATAGTTTGAATGGTTTGATTAGGTCTTAAAAGACCTAATAGAACTTCTCTCTGATTTTTGTACAAGAGCCATTGATTTTTCTCTCTGCTCCAGAATTAGCCCACTTTTCTCTTCTTCAGCCTCCTTGTCACTTCCTCCTGACTGCTTAAAGATTGTTTGGCCATTAGGAGAAGGGGAGCTCTACTGGGGCATTCAACACCTTTTCAGTTATGACACCTACATCCCAGTCCCCTTCTACTAAGTTAGGGAATAGTAGTGAAGATTTCTCCTGACTTAGAGTGGACAGGGAGTATGCTACATGTGGATTCTGGGCTTGGTCTTCCAGACTGGATTAATTCAGTCTGTATTTGAATGATTTGGGAAGGGGAGCAATACTGGAGATTAAACCCAGGGCCTTCCGTGTAATAGATAACTGCTCTACCACTGAGCTACATCCAGTCCTTTTTGTTTTTTTATTTTGTGACAGGGTCTCACTAAGTTGCCAAGGCTGATCTGGAACTAGTAATGCTCCTGCCTCAGCCCTCCCGAGTTGCTGGGATTACAGGCATGTGCCACTGCTCCTGGCTTGGATACATTTTTCAAAATTTTTAAAGGCAGTGAATCTGAAAATTAAATAATCATTAGAGACTCAGGGGGTTGGTTTAATATGCGTTTTTCTGGACTCTGTCCCCAGAATGTCTAATTTTGTCAAAATCTTTATTTACAGCCAGTTTACCCTGTTGCAGGTGGTCCACAGTTTAACTTTGAGTAGTGCTCAAAATAATATGTCTTAATAATGCAGTAGATATTTTAGGTAACTCTGGAGTTTCAGGCTGTCCCATGAGGCTGAATAACTGACAGTTGCTCATTCTAGCTTCTAGAGAACTTTTTGCTAACCAAGTAATTGTTACCTTAAAAAAAAAATCAGGACTTTGTAGGCTGGAAAAATCTTTGTTGCCACCTCCTCCCTAACCAAGAAGTAAGACATAAGTTTGAAAATAATTATTTTGCTGAATGGGGACATTAAATCAGCAGTGCAAGGAAGGACATTTAAATACCTTTCCATAGTCACCAGAAATGTAGGTAAATATAAACGTAGGAAGAACACAACCTCATAATTCTGATAATCTTTTAAATCAAGTACATTTAGCTTAAGCAAAACCCACTGTTGTCCTCTTTAAAAAAAATGATATCTATAAATCAATGAATACCTTCTGACATGATACTTCAAAACTGCAGCTTGATACTTGGAACAGTACTGAGAGGCCCTACCTGAATGTGTGAATATGATGACTAGTAGCACATCTCATATCTTTATTTTCTCAACAGTTCGATCCTTTGGTACAGAAGACAGACCAACAGATCGTCCTATACCACCTCGAGATGAAGTCTTTGAATATATTATATTCCGTGGGAGTGATATTAAAGATCTCACCGTTTGTGAGCCACCAAAACCACAATGTTCTTTGCCTCAGGACCCAGCTATCGTTCAGGTAACTGATAATAAATTGTCTTGGAATACAGGTAAACTTTGCACACATGCATAATATAACCCTTGATTTGCCTCTGCTAGTTGAATGTGTAATTTACCATTTCAAAGTTGCCTGAATACCTAAAATTACCTAGATAATGTTCTTACCTAGATTTTTCTATTTGGATTGTAAATTGGACTAAATAAGAAATAGCTGCAGAATCTATAAAATATTTTTTTTAATTTAAACAAGACTAGTGTTACAATGATTAACATTTATTGAAAGCTAACTCTAGAAGTTACTCTATTCAAAGCACAAGCACTGTACATAAAATCAGTCCTCATGTACCCTCTGAGTTTGATCCATAGTTTTTCTTACTTTTACAAGTAAGGAAGTTGAGAAAGAATAATTTGAATAGACCCAGGCAATTTGGCTCCAGAATCCAGGGCTCTATAACACTACACTATTCAGATAATGGTTTATATTACAAAGTAGGGTGATGATAGCTACTCTTAAGTAAAAATTATTAGGTTTAATGGGAGGAAAATGCCAAGTCACAATATATATTGTATGATGTGCAATGTTATATAATAAGATAGCATAAACATAAAGGATTTTTTAACATAAATAAGTTCTTCAATTTCCAAAATAAAAAACAACTCTAGTATTCTCAGAAAAAGAAACTGGAAATTTGCATATTTTATTAAAAATAGAAGCATACAATATGTAAACAATTATAAATTATTAATTAAAGCTATCCATTATAGTATATGCTTACATGTTCATTGGAAACATAAAAGCTTTCTGAATTTTGGCCATAACAAAGGAATATTTAATATTTATTTTTTTAGTTGGACACAAAGACCTTTATTTTGTTTACTTATTTTTATGTAAAAATACATTTATATGAGAGCATAGCTGATTAAAAGTTGTGGCTCTCCCATGATTTTCCTTCTGAATTCATTTTCTTCTTGCTTAAGTTTTTGTCACTTAAAATATACTTGTTCAGGGGCTGGGGTTGTGGCTCAGCGGTAGAGCACTCGCCTAGCATGTGCAAGGGGCTGGGTTCAATCCTCAGCACCACATAACAATAAATAAAATAAAGATATTATTTCCAACTGCAACTAAAAAAATTTTTTTAAAATAAAATATACTTACTTGTTCAGTTGTTTGGTTTTTTTTTTTTTTTTACTTCCAGCTATTAAAGGATAATATCTAATAAACTCTTCTACAGAAAATATAAAATTGAATATGATATTTAAATGAAGAGAGAAAAGGACCTTTTTCTTTATTTACTGTTTATTTATTCACTGTTTTTCCCTTGAATAAAATGTGTTCTTGCAGAATAAACTATGAAAAATTCTCCAGTCTTATCTATCCCTCCCTTTTAAAGTTTTCTTCTTAGGGCAAGAAGTGTGATGTAATCTCCAAAAAAATGTAAATTTTTTAGCTGGAGAAAGAAAAGATACATTCTTTCCTGTGTGTGGTGTGTGTTTTACTGGGGATTAATGCAAGGGCATTCTACCACTGAGCTACACATCCACACCTCCCCACACCCCCGACTTTTTTGATAGAGTGTAGAATTTGGCAATCCTCCTGTCTTCTCTTCCCATGTGATACCTTCCCTGTCCAGCCAAGACACAGACACTTTTTTTTTTTTTAAAGAGAGAGAAAGACAGAGTTGTTTTTTTTTTAAAATATATTTATTTTTTAGTTATCGGCGGACACAACATCTTTGTTTGTATGTGGTGCTGAAGATCGAACCCGGGCCGCATGCATGCCAGGCGAGCGCACTACCGCTTGAGCCACATCCCCAGCCCCACAGACACTTTTTTCTTCCTGCCTTTCTTGTCTAGCAGTTGTTCATATGCAAGAGTAAGAATTGTTAGAAAGAATAAACAGTGCTTTAAATTCAAATAAAAAGTTCTGGTTCCTAAGGAAAACAATTCTATATAATTCTAAATTAAGTATTTTCTAAATTCCTGTTAAAAATAGAAGGTTATTTGCTTAAGTTCTATTCCACCATAACCCTTTGAGTACATAAGGATAAACTGGTGAATTCTGTACTTCAAGAAGTCACCAGATGGGGGCTGGGGATGTGGCTCAAGCGGTATCGCGCTCACCTAGCATGCGTGCGGCCCGGGTTCGATCCTCAGCACCACGTACAAACTAAGATGTTGTGTCCGCCAAATATGAAAAAAAAATAAAATATTAAAATTCTCTCTCTCTCTCTCTCCCACTCTCTCCCTCTCTCTCACTCTTTCTTTAAAAAAAAAAAAAGTCACCAGATAGATGGGAGATGCTTCACCTCCACTACACATTCTTTTTTTTTTTTTTAATATTTATTTTTTAGTTGGACACAATACCTTTATTTTGTTTACTTATTTTTATGTGGTTCTGAGAATCCCAGGGCCTTGCACATGCTAGGCTAGTGCACTCCTGCTGAGCCTTGGTCAAATTTCTTTATTAAACAGGCATTTATTTAGTGTTCCATGAATAGTTAACAATCAGCTTATGTGACAAAAGAGATGAATGGAAAAAGTGAAAAAAGAATACAGAATGATGAACCAGAAATTTTCTTTTTTTGCTTGTTTAACAGATAAAGTCTTAAATAGAAAACAAGTCATCTTCATATAGCAAGCTCCCTTTCCCTATAAGGTTTTACAAAAGTGTTGCAAAATAGCTGCCCACATTCAAGACTGGTGTTATTTGTTGTCCCTTATATATATCTTTTTAAAAATATTTTTTTTAGTTGTAGACTGACATAAAATATCTTTGTTTTTTAATTTATTTTATATGTGTTGGTGAGGATCAAACCAGTGCCTCACACATGCTAGGCAAGTGCTCTGCCACTGAGCTACAGCCCCAGCCCCTTATTATATGTCTTTTTAAAAATATTTCTTTAGTTGTACATGGATACAATATCTTTATTTTTATTTATTTATTTTTATGTGCTGAGGATAGAACCCAGGACTTGCAAGTCAAGCTGCAAACCCAACCCTACATATATCTTTGATTTTGTAGTAACCAGTTATTTGAGTTAATCAGTTTTAGAGAGGGAGAAAAATGAAGAGAGCACAAATCAAAATGATGTTGAATAATTTCTTCCAGCCATCAGAATCTTCAACTTGTTCATTTTATTCATTCCGCAGTACTTATTGAGTAAGTTGATATTAATAATGAACACAAGATAAAGATCTTACAATAAATGACCTTATATATTGGGCTGGGGTTGTGGCTCAGTGGTAGAGTGCTCGCCTAGTATGTGTGAGGCACTGGGTTCGATCCTCAGCACCACATAAAAATAAATACATAAAATAAAAGTATTATGTCCATCTACAATTAGAAATTTAAAAAATGACCTTATATCTAGGAGCCTTCAGTACATTCATATTTACATTATGGAATATTTTATAATAAATTAATAAAATATATATGTATTAAATATATTGTAGATTTGGTAAGTTAAGATTTATATAAAAAATCTTCCTCAACTTAATATAATTGCCCATAAAAATGTTTTGTGTGGGATATGTTGGTTTCTGCATGTCATTCCTATGAATTTAATAGTAGTCCTCAAATGGTTGAAAATAAAAGGAAAATCACAAGTGAGCGAGCACCTCTGACCCTGGGGCATCGGGCACAGAGCTGGACGTCCCAGGGGTGCCGTGGCCGTGGGAGGCCCTTCTGCTGCTCTTCCTTCTTTCAGTACAGACTGACATCCAGTATTACTGAATGCAATTTTTCCTTAAACAAAGTTACTTTACTTACTCACTTTTCATTTATTCTTTCCTAAATCTGCTATAAAACTCTTAAATCACAGGATGATTTTTTTTAGAAAAAAGTATTTGTAATTCCCATTGAGTATAATTGGTACATAATATACAAATATTAAGGGAGGTTGTTCAGCTGTTGTAATACTAAATAAAAAAGTCATGGTAATTGCTTTTATACTAGTAGTTATAATTTAATACTTGAAAGTTTTAAAAAACTGAATTTCTCTCCGTTGTTTTCATGTTGCTTAGGAAAATAACCCATGATTTTCTTTCAGTCCTCACTAGGTTCATCTACTTCTTCATTCCAGTCAGTGGGTTCCTATGGACCTTTTGGCAGGATGCCAACATACAGTCAGTTCAGTCCAAGTTCATTAGTCGGGCAGCAGTTTGGTGCTGTTGGTGTTGGTACGTGATGCTTTTCTTTTCCCCCATAATTTCTTTTTCTTTACCACAAAGGTATAAAAAAAACTTAACCACAAACTTTAAAAAATGTTTTGATGTTTCTTTTGTAACTTTGTTCCATGATGTTAAACACATGGTGATTATTTTTTGAAGTCTTAGTCTTTTCAATGATCAATGGTTTCATGGAGGTCAATTTTCAGAATAATTCCATTGTAAAACTGGATATATCCAATTAGCAGATTCCTTTAAAGTTTATTTTAAATTCATATAAGATACATACATCCATTTAAGATGAACATTTTTTTCAAATGGATTGAATTTTCCAAAAGGGGATATTAAGTATAGACATCTTTTAAAAGCTACCTGTGAGAGATGCCCACACATGGTATATTTGAGGGCTTAGTTCTCTCTTGTAACAATGTTTTTGAAACATAAAACTAATGAGAGGGGATGGGGGTCTACCTCAATGGAAGAGCACTTGCCTAGCATGTGTGAGGCTCTGCTGGCAATAAGGGGCAACTGCAGTGAAGATATACAGGAAGCCTGGCATGGGTTGGGGTTTTTTGGTTTTTTGTTTTTATTTTATTTATTTATTTTTTTTGGTGCTGAGGATTGAACCCAGGGCCTTGTACATGCGAGGCAAGCACTCTAACAACAGAGCTGTATCCCCAGCCCCCCTGCTTTTAATTATTAAAAGCCTCTGGACACTTTGGTACACACCACCTGTGATCCCAGAGTGGCTCAGGAGGCCAGTTTGAGGCCAGCTTCAGCAACTCAGCAAGACCCTGTCTCAACATAAAAAATAAAAAGGGCTGCGAATAATTTTTAAGTATGTCTTTGTTGAAATTCCCACAGTAAAGAATGACTCAGTTGCCCGTCATGTATGAAGCCATAGGTTTGATTTCCCCCAAATTTCCAGCACCATTAAAAAAAAATAACTTTAAGGGCTCAGTGATAGAGCGCTCTCCTAGCTCGTGCAGGACCCTGGGTTCGATCCTCAACATTACATAAAAATAAAGATATTGTGTATCTACAACTAAAAAATTAAATATTTTTTAAAATAAAATAAATAACTTTAAGACCTGTCTCTGAATAAAGTACAAAATAGGGTTGGGGATGTGGCTCAATGGTTGAGTCCCCCTGAGTTCAGTCCCCAATAATGAAAAAAATTTAAATCTCAAGTTTTAGCCATTTATCTTTTTAGTTCCACTGAAATTATTTACAGAGATTCATAGAGAATCATGAATATAGTTTTATGTTTTTCTTAAAACTCATTCCCGAGTTTTGTTAAAATTAACTTAATTTCTTCCTATGATTATACTTTTTTAAATAGACTTTTTGTGTATGTAAATGTTTTACTTATTCAGAAAAAAGATTGAGGGAAAAAACAAACTCTAAAATTGGTTATAAAGCTGGGCCGTGATGGCACATGCCTATAATCCCAAGCACCTCTGGAGGCTGAGGCAGGAGGATTTTGAGTTCAGAGCTAGCCTCAGCAACAGCAAGGTACTAAGCAACTCAGTGAGGCCCTGTCTAAATAAAATACAAAATAGGGCTGGAGATGTGGCTAAGTGGTCAAGTGCCCCTGAGTTCAATCCCCGGTACCCCCCAAAATAAAAAACTGGATATAAACAGAAATGACAGATGCTAACTATATAGCAAATTGATGACATAACCACACAGAGGGAAGAAAATTTATTTGAATAACTTAACAGTCATTAGGATGTATTTCAAGAACAAATGGAATGACATCTTAACTTAGGTCTGTAATTGGTAGTGTTATTCCTATTGTTAATTCTTAAGCAATTTTATTTATATTATAGGATAGGGCAAATGAGTAATATTGTTGTTGGGAAACTGTTTTTACTATGGAGAAGGGAGATACAAATAATGGAAAGGAAAAAGGTGAGAAAGAACTCTGTGGTGTTGAATGTGAATTAAAGGTATGAGTCTCAACTCATTTTTTTAAACAGTTATTTCCTGGCTTTGTTCATAGAAAGCCTGGAAGCAATGCCACCAGAGCAGAGAATATGTAGACCGGCTCCTGGTTTCTAAATACCATTTCTCATTAAAAGGAACCAGGACCCCTTGAAAATAAAAAGAGACACTTGTGGTAGTACATACCTATAATCTCAGCCCTAAGCAACTAGCACAACCCTATCTTTAAAAAAAAAAAGGGCTAGGGATGTGGCTCACGGTTAAGCATTCCTGGAACTTTTTTTTTTTTTTTTTTTTTTAAGAGAGAGAATTTTTAATATTTATTTTTTAGTTTTCGGCGGACACAGCATCTTTGTAAGTAGTGCTGAGGATCGAACCCGGGCCGCATGCATGCCAGGCAAGCGCGCTACCACTTGAGTCACATCCCCAGCCCCTTGTTTTTTTTTTTGTTTGTTTTGTTTTGTTTTTTAACAGAAAAATGCTTTCTAATAAATGAGTTATTAGTGCAGGTTAAGTATCCCTAATCTGAAATGCTCCAAAATCTGAAAATTACCTTTAGACTGTATGCATAATCAAATTTCATATTTAGACTTGGGTCCCATCCTCAAGATATTATTTATATGCAAATATTCAAAATTTTAAAAAATCTGAAATTCAAAACACTTCTAGTTCCAAGCATGTTAGATAAGGGATACTCAATCTGTATAGATAACCACCATTTTGTAAATTCCAGTATAATAATAAGCAAAAATTAGCAGTAGATGCTAAAATCGTTGGGTAAAAAGTGTTGGAACAGGATATTAAAATGTTCTTAAAGTATAATTCTTTGCTTACCTACTAATTACAAAGGGAGAGAAATGTTCCTTTATTAGATTATAGTGGTTACCATCTTAACCAAGTGGTCAAGTTTAGCATTGCATTAGTTAAATACTTTTGTAAAGAATTTTGTGTCTCCTGATGTGATAATTGATGGGGAAGGGAGGAGTATATCATCTTGGTGGTGTTCTTGCTGAAAATACAGAATCTAATGTTTTCAGATGATGAGATGTTCTACAGAACAGTTACTGAGATTTGTCAAAGGAAAAACTCAAAGAAAGACAGCAAAACTGTTTTAGACTGGGAGCCTGAGGAGAGGTAACATCCAAATGCAATATGTTATTGGATCTTGAGTCTGAGAAACAATCTAAAGAATATTTTAAGGACCACTGAGGAACTTTTGAGTGTGGGCTAAATGTTGATTGGTATTATTGCTGTTGGTTTTCTTAAATGTAGTAATGGTGTTGTTAACCACATAGGAAAATGTCTTTGTTTTGAAGAAATGGTTCTGAACTATTCAAGGGTGACTGGTCAAATTAATTTGTAACTTATCTGAGGAAAAGACTAGTATGCATTTTGAGAAATAAAGAAATGGTAAAATGGAGTAGGCATGGCAGGATGTTAGCATTTGGTGAGTCTAGAGGAATGTATTAATATTTGATTTTAACATAAGTTTAACATTTTTCAGGATTAAAAATTTTAAATATTTGTTTCCTTTTATACTTAATTCTTGGATAGGTAAAATCTGTAGTAGTAACTTTGGTCCATGAATTTCCTAATCCTATTCAGGTTGTAAGATCAGCATTATTTATACAGGCAGTTTTATTTTTTGGGTGGGTGGGTGTGTGTGTGTGTGTGTGTGTGTGTGTGTGTGTGTGTGTGTGTGTGTGTGTGTTTGACAGTACTGCGGATCAAACCCCAGGGATGCATGGTAGGCAAGTGCCCCATCACAGAGCTACATCCCAGCCCTGTATTATTCTTTTTGAGACCCCTTTCACTAAATTAAATAGTAGGCTAACATCAGAATCATAATTGTTTTTATTTCTTATGTTTGCTTGGCTTAATATGTTTGAAAATTTTAACAGGATCTAACACATACCATCAGTGTAATAACTATTTCTGTCCCTCTTTAAGGACTGTACCTCCATTTGGGGTATTTGTGATAGTATAATATCTATTCCTTGTAAAAGCTTTTGTCTTTTTTGAGATGGGGTCTTGCTGAGTTGCTTAGGGCCTCACTAAGTTTCTTTTTTCTTTTTTTTTAATGTTTTGTTGTTGTTGTGTTGGACACACTACCTTTATTTCACTTATTTATATGTAGTGCTGAGGATCGAACCCCAGGGCCTCTCACGTGCTAGGCAAACGCTCTACTGCTGAGCCAAAACCCTACCCCCCTCACTAAGTTTCTGTGGCTAGCTTTGAACTCGTGATCCTCCTTCCTCAGCCTCCTGAGCTGCCAGGATTATAGGCATGCACCACCACATCAGGTACTTTTATCTTATTAAGTATGTATTATTATTAATATTATGGTTTGCAGTTCAGTGTTGTTTGATTTTTGCAGTGCCAGACTATTTTTGAATGGTTGATTTCCATATTGATAAAGATATTTGTGGTGTGGCTAATTAGGAAACTATATATTAGAAATTGCTAAATAAATAAAATTAGTGTTGATCAAGGTAGTAGATGTTTTTAGGAAAAAGAATTAATTCAGATATAGTTTGTGTTGGAACAAATAAAGCCAGATTTTAATCTAAGCCTCCTTTTTTTCAGTTGCTAATACTCTGATTTTTAGAAGGAAGATTAAATGAATTAGGATTACTGTATTGCTATGTGATGAGGAAAGTCTTTTCCATTAAAATTTTCATATACAGATGCTCCTCAGTTTATTATAGGCTTATATCACAGTAAACATTAAGTCAAAAATAGTGTGAGTCAAAAATGCATTTAATACACCTACCCTACCAAACATCATAGGTTAGCTTATCCTACCCAAACATATTCACAACAGTTACATTCACCTATAGTTGGGCAAAATCATTTAACACAAAGCCTGTTTTTTGTTTTGTTTTGTTTTTAATACTTTATTAGTTATTGATGGACCTTTACTTATTTGTTTATATGTGCTGCTGAGAATTGAACCCAGTGCCTCACACGTGCTGCGCAGGTGCCCTACCACGACTCCAGCCCACAAAGCCTGTTTTATAATAAAATGTTAGAGATTTTATATACACACAGAGATGGGCATTTAG